AAAGTGGTACAACCCTGGCTCCTCTGTGCCCATGGTCCTATTGTGTGTCTAGCTCAGGCCTCTCCCCAGTACCAAAACCGAAGCCCAGCCTAGCCACTTTCTCAGGAATCTCACACTGAAGACATCTGGCCTAGCCTGCTCCTATTAAGCCATTCACCCCTGCAGGGCCACCTATCTCGGCAGAGGCTTGCTCCTAGATCCCCACTAAACAGCACCAGGGCCATGGCGCTCCAATCACCTCTCCCCTGCTTCTGTCGCGGCCCCAGCTTTACTAATCTCAGCCTTTCCCTGACAGTCCACAGGGAGGACAACGACCTTGCATTTCTGATCTCTTTGCCTTCACCACCAAGTGTTGGGATGACAGGTGTGCACAACCTGGTTTATAAAATGTGTGGATGAACGGCTAGATACGGGATACAAGCACAGGGCCTGAGCTGTCGCTGGCAGCCGCCGAGGAGTGGCATGCTGAGAACGGATCTCTCCATCTCTGCAGGAGGACAGACCAAGATGCAGGGTGGCTTGGGTCACTACTGCAAGGAGACAAGTGGGCCCCATACAGCTGTGGTTTCTTCTGGAGTCCGAGGCCAGGGTGTATCCTGGTTAGATCTGGGGGTGGTGTGGCGGCGTGTACTGCTGTCCTACAGGTCTGGGGCATCATGGGTAGTGGTGACACTGCTGTGGGTGACAGCCATGGTGGTAGTATGGGGGTGGGAACAAAGATGCTGAACTTTAAGTCAGTGCTGAAGGTCAGGGGTGACAGGGTGGGGACAGGGTTGAGTAGGAGCAGGAATCTGGTCTCTGTACCCTGGTCTGAAAACTCATGAGGACATTGAGAATTCAGGCTTCCTATGTCTTTGGGAAGCCTGTCCCCTCTGGCTTTTCTAGACTTCTACCTGGCAGTTCCTCTGGCTCATGAAGTAGAGCCTTGGCACTGTCTCTGCAAGAGTCTAGTCTACAGATGCAAAATGCAGAGGGAAGGGGTGTGGAAGAGAGCAGGAGACACTGTGGGCCTGGTCAACGAGGCTGACACTTCCTCCTCTCATCTGGTCATCAGCTATTCCCATGCAAGGACAAGAGAAACAAAAGGAGACAGGAGGTGTGGAGGGCAGAGGCCGGGAGCTGGAGAGTGGGCCATACCTAAGTCTCCTGGAGCCCTGCTGTGGAAAAAGGAGATGGCCACCCGCATCTCCTGTCTCAGGGAGCCCTGTGGCTCAGAGGAGGGGCGGGACAGATGGAAACCATACCAAGGAAGAAATCCCCACCCCACAGTGGTCTCTTGGAACTGCGCAGTCAGGGCCAAGCAGAACCTGGGTTCAGAGGTGGTCATGTGGGAGGTGGACCCAAAGGGTGTCCCTAGAAGGGTCACCAGGTTCTGGCATTCTTTATCTGGGGCCCCAGCTGTGGCCACAGGAAGTCACTGTTTTGCTGCTGGTCTCCCCTCTAGGCCCATGATAACGTTGGGGGATTCTAGTGTATTGAGCAACACCTAAGCCTGGGCTGCAGGACCTCTGGCCTACAGGCCTAGGAGCTGGGCCCCGGCATGTAAGCTAAGGTGGAAGAAAGGGGACAGGCCAGTGGGACAATCTAATTTGTTCTCTCCAAATCTAGTGAGTGCAGGCAAGCAGATCTGTTTCTTGTGCTGGGCCAGGACGACACACTCTGGGACCCCAACCAGTGTCCTTTTCTGATGCCCCACACAATTCTGTCCCTACATTCAGGTTCTACCTCCTGTGTTGAGTCCCCAAACCTTCCAAACATCCTCTCTGCACTGTTATCCTGAAGCGCTTCCCCTCCTACATCCAGAAACCTTCCTATCCTGGCAGGTCACCTCACGGGATTCCTTTTCTTTTTCTTCAGACTAGGGCTAGGGCTGGGGATCCCGCCCCTCTGCTGCTCTTCAGGCTTCCACAGGCTTCCTCTTTAGTCTCCTTGACAGCCTCACGCCAGAGTCCATGCCCCGCACCTACTCCCAGCAGACGAGCCTGTGGATGAACGGCCGAGCTAATTAATGGCTGGACCTCCTATCAATGTGCGGCGATTGCCTCCCTAATGAGGGCGTCTCCCTGTGAGGGCTCCCTACCTTCCTTTAGCAATCTCTCAGTTCTTCCTGTTAGAGTCCCTCGACAGTATGTCCTCTTCCCCTGGCAAACTCCTACTTTCTTTAGTCTTACTCATGGAGCCTCTGTGGTCTCTTGGCAAGAAATAAGGGTCAGAGAGGACCCTCAAGGGAGAGCCATACTAGGAACTAGGAGGCCATGAGGGGCCATGAGGAAGCCTGGCAATGTGGAGGTTGTACAGGTTAGGATGTCTGGGCTGGGCTCACCAAGTAGAAGGGAATTTCATGAGGGTCTGGGTTTTGGTACCCTGACAGCCTCCCATCATCACCTCCCATTACAGGGCCCCAGAGAAGGTACTCATCCATGTCTGTGCTCTGCGGGCCACCACTCTGCAGATACCAGCCCCTGCCTCCTCTACTCCACTCCTCTGCAGATGCCACACATACAGGAGACAGACGAACCCTGAGTACATGGTGTCCAGACGCTGGCCCTGTCCAGAGGCTCCAGGTGCACGTGTGCATGGCTGGGGAGGACAGAGGCTGTCCCTTCTGCCCCAGGCCCCCAGGGCTTCCCATTTACCAGCCGTTATCTATCAAAAATATATTAACCCCGAGCCTGTTTCCATCAGAGTCTCGATTCCAGGGACGGTTCCAGATAAGCCTTATCTCTGTGCTGGTGCATTAGCCCCATGCTCCAGGGCCTGCCAATCATGCTGCCCCCACCCAGCCTGTGCTGCGGCACTGGTTGTGACTTCACGTTGTGTAGGAGGCCAGGGGGTGTCTCTTTTCTGAGGACACACCCCAGGCACTATGGCGGGCTTTTGGTATTGTCTAGTGCCCTAACCCGTGGCATAGAGACCCCACGCAGGTTCCTGTGGGTTGTGGCTGGAATGAACCTGGCCCTGTGGAGTTGTAGCTTCCCTAAAACACTGGAGCCTGGGATCACAACAGGACTGGAGGGTTCTGGAGTCAGGGGCCCTGCCTGCAGCCAGTCCAGGTCAGCAGAGCACACTGCTCCCTCTCACTGCTGCTGTGACTGGGCCACCCCTCAGGACTGTGCACCCTGACTTTAACTCACTAATGGTGTTAGAGTTTCTACCAATGCCATGCCTGACAGAGGCTCAGCTGTGCTCTCAGGCCACACTGGACAGGCCTGCTTCATATATTCTCAGGGTCCCAGAGGCTTTGTGGGGGGGGGGTCACATGCTGAGGAACCCCTCACAGTGCTCAGCCCTGGGCTCTTCTGTGTGCCTCCACTTCCCTCTATCTGGGCTCTCAGGAATACAGTCTTCAGGAGAGACGCTGCGGGGGGAAGACTCTAATCCACATACAGGTCCTGGAGAAAATGGCTGAACTGGAGCTGTGCCATGGCTAGGGTGGGCTGCACTGCCTCTTGTGGGTTTACAGGCCTCTGTCCCTCAGTGTGGGCACATCTGTTGGCTTGCTCCCCAGGCTGCAGGGGTGTGATGGCAGCTCTAAGCTCAGCAGAGTCCATTGGGGACCCTGAGGTACAGGCTGGGAATGTGACCAAGGTTATAAATCCCATTAAGGGCAGATAGGGATACTATGCCCCAAACTGCAGGGATGAGCCAGCTTCAGGCCCCTTGGCCAGGGAGGTTCCTGGTCCAGGTCTCAAGCTGAGCAGAATGACTTCCTTACCTATGAGGACTCAGACCTGGCTCAGCCACACACCCACGCTTAGAGGCCACCAGTCCTAGAAGCCTCTACTGCTCCCAGAAGTGAGGTAGGGGACTGTGGACCTCAGTCAGTTTGGCTACCTGTCGTGAGGCCCTTGCCCAAGCCTGGGCCTCACTGTCTCTGACTGCCTGTGCTTCTCAGGTGTCATGACAGGTGGGAAGGGTTGGGGAGGGGAGAGGGCAGCTCAGTCAGTGACTCTGTCCTTCAGGCATGGCAGTTTTCTAGTCTGGGTGGATCTGAATGAGGGCACAGTGCTGCACAAGAGGCAGACCAAGCAGAAGACAGCCATCCCTGAGGTGTCCACACGGGTGGCAGCAGTGGGATTCCTTGGAGCTGGAATTCAGTTCTATTGGGAGAGGAACAACCGCAATGGCTGTGACCACCCTACATTTGCTGCCCTTTGGGCCACACCCAGGCCCTGGACTGACAGGGTAGTGGCAAGGGTACCATGGAGTCCTACAGCTGTGGGAAGCTGGTCCTTAAAGGCCTGGCAGCAAAACCCAGTCCCTGCTTGTCTTCAGCTATAGGGTGCCCTGACTGCGGCTGCCTGAGGCCTGGCCAAGGATGGTGAAGGGCAGTCACTGCCATCCTGGCCTCTTGGATGCATGAGGGGCTTGGCGGGCTGATGGCATATTTGATTAGGGGCCACAGCGTTCAGGGACGCTGTGTTCTGTAGCCTGGGTCCTTTTCCTCTGCCCTCAGCTCTGGGGCTTAACAGACCCAAGTCATTTGATCACAACCTGCCCCTGTTAATATTTTTAATGCCATTTTTGAAAATTAAAGCATAATGCACTGATTACTGGGATAAAGGGAGGCCTTCACGTCTGTCTGGAGGTCAAACAGGGAAGCGCTGGGACATCTGCTACCCTTACAGGTGTCTGGAAAAGCTCTGACTCCTCTCATTGGTCAGCTCCACCCTCTCGCCCCATCTCAGTCTCCACGTTAAGCCTGAGGGTGCTGGGACTGGAGATGAACATGGACAGGGTCCACGTGTTCCACCCTGACCTAGCACTCTCGGAAGTCTGGCCCCCAAGCTGGAGGTCAGGGTCTGTTGACCTCTAATGTCAACATGGAGCCCTAGGGTGCTAGCCACTGTCCAGAGGCCTTACTAGGTTCAGCTGCTCAGAGAACCTCAATTCTTCAATGCCCATAACACCCCAGGAGCCCCTGGATGGTCCTTACCCAGTGCCACACAATACCCTGTGATGCCTGATAACCCTGGAAGGACAGGCAGACTACGGGTGGCTAGGTCACATATGGGATGTTTATTTCCAGTTGCAGGGTGCCAGCTACTTGGGGTAGGGCTGCAGACACCCTAACTGGGGAAGCCTGTGGGGCCCAGGCTGCTGGCTCTGCTAAGGCCCTTTCCTAACTGGACCTAGCTGTTATCCCAGGTGGGTGAAGGGATGGCAGGTTTTCTCAGTGGGGCTGCCCACAGGATTGGGGAGATTGAGGCATGTCGGGGGAGATCTGGCACTGTAGTCTGGCTTGCAGCTGGGCAGGAGGCCCTGGGGGCTGGTTCACTTAGGGAGTCTGTACCATGCGCTTCTGGGTGTCAAAGACATAGCGCTTGAAAGACAGACTGAGTGTCACAGGCTGCATGGGCTCTGGCCGTTCGGTGCCCTCCTCTTGCTTAGTGGTCTCCCCACGGCCAGCTCGGTTCCGCTTCTTGAGTGTAGGCGTCAGGATCTTCTTAGACTCAGGGCTGAGGCCACCTGGAGGGATAAAAGTGTCACTACTCAGTGTAGGCAGAGCTGCCTCCTTGTCTCCCCGCTCCAGACACTTACCAAACCCAGTATCACCCTCTGCCCAACAAGGTAGGGCCTTTGTGACTCCTCCCCACACCCAATTCACTATAGCCAGTCACTCTAGGCTACAACTCTCTGATCTTCTGACTTCTTGCCTGGCCCCTAAGGTCCTAATGCTCTCTGGGAACACTGTGCAGGACACTTGAAGGTTCTGGCCACCATGGAGACACCTTATGCTGGAAGTCTGACCCTGAAGCAGGCTGAGGTTCTGTGCCTTCTGCTTCTGGGTGGGTTCAGAGGAGGGGGCCTCAGCAAAGAGGTAAGCAGGGAGGTTTAATCAGCTTTCCTTGGCCAGACCTCCTGTGGGGGTCTCACCCAGGCTCTGGGAGACACTGTCTCTAGCTGGTTCCTCCATCCTCACCACCCACCCTGAGTAAGGTTGAGTTCTTTGCTATCCCCAAGAGCTAAGTATGACCTTTCTTCATCCAGAACACCCTTCCTGCTCTAACAGTGGAAGATGTCCCATGGCCCTTCAGGAAGAGGCGGTGCTTAGCCATTTTCAGTGAAGATGCACCCTGACAGCACCCGGCAGCTGCAGACACTGCATTAAGTTTAGATTGAGTTCAGCATCCCACATGTTTATTTATCTTGTGTTGAGACTTACAACCAATTGTCTTGGGTTTCTGGATGAGACACTGGGCAGAGGCTCAGGCAGTGTCTGCTAGTGTTTACTGGCACCTGGGTGAATCTCCTGGCAGTCCTGATTCTGAAGGCCAGCATCCACCTGCATGTGGGCCTCTGACAATGACTTTTTCTTCCAAGACAGGGTTTCTCTGTGTGGCCATGGCTGTCCTGGAACTCACTCTAGACCAAGTTGGTCTTGAACTTAAAGATCTGCCTGCCTTGTTTCCCAAGTGCTGTGATTAAAGGCATGCACCACTATTGCCCATCTCTGACAATGATCTTGAAGAGGGATCCCACCTCTCTAAGCACTCTGCACTGGGCCCTAATCACTGCAAATTTAAAAAGTGGTACATCCCTGGAAAACTGCAGTCCGTTAGGGACAGCTTGTCTCACTGTATAAAGGGTCTGGACTCATTCTGACAGGCGAAAGTGAGACTATGAGCTACCTCAAAGCCTGGATCCCCTGGAAAAGTTAGGGGCTTGAAGCTGCTAACAGGGCCCTGGAACCAAGATGCCTATGGTCCCCTGCCACAGTGCACCCAGTAGAAGGTGCCCTCCTACAGCTGCCTGGTCTTTAGCCCTGCATCTGTGGCTTTGCTTCCTCCCAGACGGTGCCTAGGCCCTGGAGCAAGAAGAGGGCCCTGGGCTGGTGCCAGGCCTGCAGGTATCTGAGTTCTTGAATCAGAGCTGGGCCTTCCTCCTGCTGGCACCAGACCCTGACAAATGGTACGGGCCTGTCTCTCTCTGGTGCCAGGAGGTCTGATGGCTGAAGAGGTGCAGGGCTCCAGAGAGTCTGTGCCATGCTGGGGAGACAGGTGTGGCCCAATCAGCGGTCCATCTCATCTGTGATAGCTCTGGTTACACACAGTGCATACCGCATCAGCACAGAGCAGGCAGGGATGGAAGAGGAGTCTGGCACAAGCAATACTGTGGCCATTTAGCAGCTGGGTCACCTCAGCCATCCCAGGGGTCTGGGAACAACACCAAGGGTCTACCAAGAAACCTGTACCAACAGCTCCTGGGACATATGGCTGATATCACACTGTTTCTTCAGGTAGCATGTGCTGAGGAGTTGGAGCTGTACCCACCACAGGCACGTGGCCCAGCTCAGGCTGCAAATGCCTCTCAACTGCCCAGGGCTTCCTTTTAAAGATACTTGGCATTGTAGGATCAGTGGACAGCCGGGAGTAGGCACACAGTCTAAGCCAGCTCCCCTGGAGAGATTCTAGCTTGAGAAGACCGACAGTCAACAGGTTTGGAAGCAGACAGACTCAGATAGCAGGAGGAACTTAAGGAAATGTCCCCATGTCCCTGGGAGGGCGATGGTAGCAGCTTTGATGTGCCTAATGCAGGGCTCTTCCTTTGTGCCTGGGCAAACGGCAAACACCCACTTCCCTGCACCACATATCTGCATATCCACCTCTGTACACTTCTGGCTTTGTTAGCCCCTCAGCTAGATGATGCACTCCCTGGGGTTCTAAGAGCATCTATTCAGATAGCTGCCATCTCTCAGGCCTACTGGCGACCTGGCCACTGTACCCAGCCTCTTTAGCCCTCACCTGCTCTAGCTCTTTCTTATAACCCCACCTCATCTGGTAGACTCTATTACCTCCGTGTTTTAGTATCTGTTGTCTTTCCCTAACCAGTTTTTACCACAGTGAAGTTTCTGTCTTTACCATGCGATCTGCACTGGGAACTCTGGCTCCCAGTTGTCAGTGCTGGTGAGACCCTACAGGGCTGGAGGCCCTAGAACAGAACCCAAAACAGCAAGCATCTAGAAGTAGCCTGTAAGGTAGTTCCTGCACAGCCAATGTCAACCAAGAAGTCTACTTCCAGGAATGCAAACCAGACAAGCGTGTGCCATGTGGGCCCAGATGTGTAGAGGTGCCTCTCACTGATCAGGGCTGGGGGCACTGAGGTGCCAAAGAGCTTCACACTTGCCCAAGGTCCCATGGTGGGTGGTGGGCAGTGTTGCTGTCTAAGGTGGTCTGACCCCATCTGTGTTTGAGCATTAAAGAACCATATGTCTAACATCAGTTAGAGGGACCCCGAGACCAAGGGGTGATGAGACAAATCCCCTGTTGTAATAAAGTGATGGCCCGTAAAACTAAATGCGACTCAACAAACATTTAAAAGCAGATTCAAGCTGGGGCAAGGACTCAGAGACGGCTTATTCAGTAATGAACCTGCAAGCCTGAGGACCTGAGTTCAGATCTCCAACAGCCAGGTACGAAACTGGGAAAAGTGGTGAACACCTATAATCTTAAGAGTTCAGGAGGGGAAGACAGGGGTCCCTGGGCTTGCTGGCCAGCAGCATGTTTAGCTGAGTTTTGTGAACTCCAGGTTCAGTGAGACTTTGTTTCAACTAAATTAGGGAAGTAACAGAGGAAGACACAAAGTTGACCTCTGACCTCTATACAAAAGATGTATTCTAAACTTAGTTCAAACAATGCAGCAGGCAGAACTTTCAGAAGAACCCTGCCAACTGAGCTACGGAGAAAAGACCAGAAGGCTCTCTCTATGACCAGCTCCCGGGACCACATGGGTGACAAGCAGTGCCTTCCCTCTACTTTTCTGAACTGCCCAAGGGCTTTGGGTAACCCTGGGTTAGGCACAGAGGCCATCTACAAAGGCCACACAGTGTGCCCACTCCAGAACCCAGACAAGGGACCATGTGTAGCAGTGCACCCTAGCACACAGGCAAGCAGGGGAAGGGGAAGGAAGTCCAGGTGGGTCCCCAGGGCCTGGTGGTGGGGCTCAGGGCAGTTGTGATCAGGAAGCAGGCTGGCACTTTGAGACCAGTGGCCTTGCTTCTATGTTGTGGTTGTGCCTGGGAAGGGTGAGGCTGAACATGGGTAGAACTCCTGTATGGGCCCTGAGGTCAAAGTGTCCGACACAGCTGCTTCCAGCTAGAGCAGAAGTCTCAAGGGGCAGGCTCAGGGACTGGCTCCCAGTTCCTCAGCCCCACTGCATTCCTGCTGCCTCCTGCTCTACTTCCTTGTCACCAGAGAGAACCTGGTCACACTGGCAGGAGTATGTGCTCACTCAGGGCCCACGCCTGCCTCCTCTGTCTCTCCACTCTCTGGTGCTTCTGTCCCACTCTGTACATCAGGCACAGGAAACCAGGCAGGGGGTCCTGATCATTCATTTCTGGGAGCTGAGCTCCTTTCCACCTGCTGAATTTAGGTTGCTACTGTTCCTTGGAGCACGCCCCCTGACTGTCCTGAGCTAAAAGGAGTTTCTCCTAGGGGCCTCACCAAGCACTTGTTTTTACTGTGGTTGGGTAGTGCCTACTTCTCAGAGGCTGGAGAATGGTGATGATCTTTCCCCTGCTGGGCATGGAGTCCTCTAGGTCTCCTGGGGAACATGAATGGGGTGGAGGCATCCCATGCTGTACGCAGCACCCAACACCATCATACTCACGCCTCTGCATGCTACACTCCATGAACGCACTCCCAATGTCACATGTATCCACTCTCCCATGTCCACTACATATCATATACAGCTATCAGTACTCACCTATACTATTCATATCCACGGTCCATGGCCCTGTATGTATTCCTGCATGCCCCACACAGGCACACATACACACGCATGCACACACACACCACTCACATCCACCCGCACTCATCTCTATTACATACATCTACATGCCAGCTCCTCCATGTTACACACACCTGTATGCATCCCATCCAAATGAACAGGGCAGTGATGAGGCCTGGGGAAAAGACGCCTGTCCCTCAAGCAGTCCAAAGAGCAGTCTGGCTCAGGCATCAGGCATCAGGTTGGACTTTGGCTCTCTCTCATGTGCCAGCACCAGACTTCTCCTGGTAGGGGATGTGCTGGGGCTGAGGTAGCCCATGATGCCCCCTGTTCAGGAGGCCTATTCTCTCCCTAGACACCACGAGTCCTGGAGACTGCTCTATTCTCTTTTGAGCCCAAACCCCAGGATGTAGTGGGGGTGGCAGTGACCCTATGTGACACCACTGCTCATAGCTTCCCATGGGGACCTCTCCCAGGGCCTGGCTGGCCTTTCTCACTGTGCGCCAGCCCCACACAAAGGCACAATGGGCTGCAGGCTGCTGGGTCTTGGCTCTGCTCTGCAATCAGGGAAGAATGTGGGAAGCGAAGTTTTTCAAGCCCAGCGCGGGTGCCGCCCGGCAGTGTCCATCAAAGGCCAGCAAATTGCCTCCAATTGCTGGCGTCGCTTTCATGTCAGGGGCCAGACTAGAAGAGGGCCTTCACGTTGGTGGGCAGCTGGCACCCCCCAGTGGGAATGGAGC